TAATTAAAAATTAGTGTCTAAAAAAATTTTTAAATGTACCACATTATACCAAACTTGGTGGTTAAGGCACTTCATGAAGAGAAGCAGAAGATACTCAAGTAACATATATAAAATTATAAGCTAGTTGTTTATTCTTTCTTTGAAATCCTCACAACTGTGTTACAATAAATTACAAAGGACTACACCATCACTTAAACATGTGCTTTACAAAGCACTTTTCTGAAGAATATTAAAACCTAAAAGTCTTTTACTATAACACTAAACAAATTTTGTTTTCAATCTACACTAAATTTTTTTCTTCTAGTTTCAAAACAAGTACAGCCAAGATATATGTAATAATTAAAGATAATCTTACAGTAATATAATTTGATGAAATGGATATCTAAGTTGTACTTGGCTGAGCCAATTTTTGTCTCATGGTTAGTTCTGCCTAGTTGTATCTAGGATACAGTCATTAGATCAGTTAAAACTTTTTATGTCCACGAAGTTTCAAATACTGAAAATGTTGTTTACAAGGGAGTTTCTTAAGCAACTTCTCCAATATGAATTCAATAGTCCTTAGTTTTAGACGACAGCTAGAAATATGATAATTGTATTTTGTCAAGTTTTTACACATTCTACCAACAGAATATATTTTGGAAAAATAGATGCCTCTCTATCCATTACATATGAATATCATTTAGAAGAGAAAAAGAAATATGCAGTAAACGATTATATGTTTAGGTATAAAGACTTTTAACAGCAACTTTTATGTATGCATGTTAATTTCTATGTGTATGTGTGGTTAACAATTTAATAAAACCTATCACAAAATTTTTAAATCAAATTTCATTTAATGCTTCTGATCAACAATATTAATTTTAAAAATGTCCATACTATGTTTTAACTCATTTTATGCTCTTAAAACGTATTTTACATTTTTATATTTTAAAGAAAATGCACATACAATAAGCATATTTCAACATTTTTCGTTTTTATTTAACTTTTGAATAAGTATGGTGTGTAATTTTCTAACATTTTATTTACAAATTCAATTTTTTGAGTTCTGAGAATTCTCTTAACAAGTGCAAAAACATGGATGACTAATTCAATGTTTTGAAAGAGGGGTGTTAATGTTGTTCTGCTGTTAATAAGTGTATAAGCTAGTAAAAACCTCTGAAGGTGGGGCGAGTACTCACAGTATCAACATTGCTGGTTCTTGCACCATTAGATCTGATGAAGCCGCAAACGTGAAACTCTAACTGAAACAAAAAGAAGTTTTAAGAAGAGCACATCTTATAGACAAATATTTTATTGTGTGGTTAGATAAGTATGCCAATTGAATGAACAACACATTCCACTTGTAAAGGATAATACAAATTAACAATTTAAATAGTATTTTAAAACTTTAAGGTTAAAAAATCATGGTGAGTGTGTTTAAATTTCCAAACAATATAAATATCAAGAAGCACAACCTCAGAAATATTCCTCTCCTCATTTATCTTTTTCGGATGGGGAAAGAAGACATTTTTCATCACAGAGATGTGGCTTATAGGTAATTTGACATTAACAAGTTATTTTATTTTGATATCAGATGTACACATGAACTCTATTTTTTCTTTAGAAATTTAATAAGCCATAAGAAAATCTCCACTAAATAAGTGTTCGTATTCTAGTATAATCACAAAAGAGAGAATAGGTTTTAGTTTCAAAACTAATTAAAAAACAAACATCTTTTAAAATGTCAATTTTTCTTTGGCTTATCTTAAACCTTAAAGTTGCAAGAACACAACACAAAAGATTCTGTGTCTACAATAAAAGCTCTGAAACCTTCAGTTAAGTTCAGTATAAGACCCAGTGTTCCAGATAATTTTTTTTCTATGAGGAATAATCATTCCCAGAATTCTATCAGTGGGAGTAATTTTAATTTCTTTTAAAAGTGCAGCAGTAACATTTTGTGATAAAAAGTAATTTCATTAATTACAAATTATTCTATTATTTGAAAAGGTGAAACTTGGCACAGGATTAATTTAGCAATTTAAATAACCAGATGTAGCCATAATAAACACAAATAATGACATTACAACTTTTTATTTTATTTACACAAAACTGGATCATTCACTAGTGCACCAACAGAAACTTCTGGCAGTTAGAGACCACTTATATTTACAGCTCTACTGTGTGATCTGGGCAGAGCTTACGCAGAACTGCAGAAAGCTAAAAGAATGCAGCCATTAATTACTGTACTACCGTTAAAGCGGCAGGAGCTGTATTCATTTTTCCATGGCAGTAAAAGAACTTCTCAATATATTCAAGGCCATAAATGGCTCATTTTAGGTCAGGAATTACACCCATTACCTGAAGCACTGAGATCAAATTGAGTAACTTCCTAAATTTTGCATCCATCTATGAATATCTTTAATAAATCATGCAATGTCAAAACAATTATTCACAAGTTTAAAAAAATTTAATTCACTAATGTTACCTTTAATTCTCTCATACCTGATAAAAAAAATGGAGATATTTTATCTATAGGCTGAAAATAAACATTAAGTCTTTTGTCAAAGTACACATTAGTATATTGCTTAAAATTAGCAGAAAAATCAAATCTGACATTAGTAGTGTGCCATAATAAATACCTGCATTTTCATTTGAATACACACTAAATAATAATTAAAAATTAGTGTCTAAAAAAATTTTAAATGTACCACATTATACCAAACTTGGTGGTTAAGGCACTTCATGAAGAGAAACAGAAGATACTCAAGTAACATAT